TCTCTCTCTCTCTCTCTCTCTCTCTCTCTCTCTCTCTCTCTCTCTCTCTCTCTCCTCTCTCACTCTCTCTTAAAAAAAAAAAATCAACATGGAGCCGGTAAACTTGAATAGGATTAAAGAAAGTTTCTTAGGAGATATGCTCTTCTTTTCACAGTTCCATTTTACAACCCAACACCTCTCTTCCAACCTTACTTTCCACTTTACATCCCATTTCATGTGCTCCTGTGATTTGGTATTACTGTCTCATGAGTAATCCCATTTCTCCAATTTCTGTATGTTTCAAGGCTGCTCATATATTTTATATGTGATGTCTGATTTAACCATTACAATAAGCAAGTAACTACCCACAAACAACTCAGCTTCTTGTTAATATGAAAAGAACGAGATATGAACCAGAGTTCGTGAGTCCACTTTGCTTTATCTTACACCATCTAACTTTCCCTGTTGTAATTAGAATGACTAGTAATATTTAAAGAGTATTTATAGAGGCAAATGGCATATTAAAGTTTCATTTGAATTTTTGAACTTGACTCCTACTTTTTTTTTTCTTCCCTTTTTGACATTGAAAAAAAGTTATTGAGTACCTTTTATGTGTCAAATGATGTTACAGAATCCCAGGGATGCCAAGATGAATTTGACTATTTTCTACCCTTGAAGGGACCCTTAGTGTAGCCATGCAGACAGACTTGCCTACAGGTAATTATGAGATAATGTGGCAGGTGGTATAATAGACATGTAAAGTGGAATGGTTGACTCCTACTTTTTAACCTCAGGTTTAAGTTACTGTTTCTATAAGGTAAATTTGACTTTTCTATAAGTTTTGAAAACAAAAGCAGTTATATAATCAGCATTATAATAAAAAACTTTATCCACACTCTGCACCTAGTTCCTTGGCAATCATCAACAACTCATATTTATCTAGTTTTTGAATTACAGAAAAAGACAGAAAAAAGTAATTTGCCCCAGATCACACAGGTAGCAAATTAGAGAGTCAAGATTGAAATCTGGGCAGTTTGGCTCTAGAATCAGTATTCTAACTGCCATATATATTGTATTCTCATAAGAATTGAATTTGGAATTTCATTGATTGAGCTTCATTCGTTCAACAAATTCAATTTGTTCTCCTGAAGTCGCTGGAACAGAGAATTAGCAAATATTGAACCATTGTTCATAGGGGAAATATAGTGTTAGGTTCCTGTTAGCTTCTGGTCATATTTTCATTAACTGGTCATGGAGCGATCTTGATACATTGTTGATTCTTTAATATTTAATTCATAGCCATCATCCTTGTATTTCATTCCTGAAGGTAGCTTATCTACACACATTTTCTTTGTAAGGCCTTTCTATGCTTAGGGACACTACACAGGTCTTCAGTTTGATGCTTGGTGGCCATTTTAAGCAGTGAAATCACAACAAAAGGCATAAAAATGGGAAGGGGRCAAGGCAGCAAATAGACTGAAAAGAAAAAGAACACTGGTTTACAATTCAGTGGTTGAAACAAGAAAGTAGAGCACTGCTGTGTTTGACCTTTTTAGGAAACATACATGACTCAAATCTCTGTGTTATGTTCACAAATGTCCTAGAAATCACAACTATTGATTTGGGGGACTACAAGTACATTTATTGTGTATGTAAGTTCCCAAATATGGAGTCCAAAAATAATGAGAATTCATTGCATATATTTTAGCACTCTTAACCTCTGAAATTACCATGTATATCAAGACAGCCCCTTGTTTGTAAAGGAGACAATATGCAACTTTAAAATATAAAACATARTAGGAAAGAAATAATTATAGGAAAGTGAAGAAAGGAGATCCTCCTTATATAATCTTAAGTCCATTTGAAATAAACCACAAGGTACATATAATTTTGAGTTTTCTTATAGATACTTTAAAATTATTTTAAAGATGAAACTAATTTCAGTAATCTTTTATTTAATCCAATAAATGCAACAATCCAAAAAATGTAACATTACATTCTTTTTTTTCATAGTAAGCCTTTAGAATATGGTGTGTATTTTATAATTTACAATACATCTCAATTCACACTAGCTGCATTTCAAGTATTCAATAGCCATATTTGGCTGATGGCTATCATATTGGACATCACAGATCTAGAAAGTTGAGACTTTTTTTGGGGGGGTGGTGACAATCTGATTTGAGTTTTAATATGAATAGAAGGTTAGAAATGGGAAGGAATTTGGAAAAGGCATTTTAGCCAAAGGGAATGGAAATACAAAGGCCTGTAGGTCACAGAATCATGATATCATATTGTACTGCAAATAGATTAGGTTAATAAAATACACACTCCATTGTATAGTCTCTTTTGGTGTGGTACCATTAGAATGAACAACCTGAAAATGTCAGTAGAGATATGCTAAGGGTTGATGTCTGGACAAGGGAATTCCAATTTCTGTAGCTTTTGCTTCCTTTTCACCCTTTGACAAGGCATCTTRTTTCAACAGTCCTATTATCTATAATCTCTGTATTGTGTCAAGGAATTTCCACCATGTCAATTTCCTATAGAATGGAATAGCACTGGATTCAGAATAATATTAAGCAAACCAGCAAACTATCTTACATAGCTGCATAAACAACATGTGTTAGATTTCTGTCACTATTAAAAATACCTGAGATAATCAYCTCATAAAGGTTCATTTTGATTCATGGTTTTGGAAGGTCTAATCCATGATCAGTTGACTCCATTGCTTTTGGGCCTGTGATGAGGTATCACATCAGGACAAAAGTTTGTGGTGGATCAAAACCACTTACCTCGTGGCCTGGAATCAAGAGAGAGRGGAGGAGGTCCAAGGTCTTACATTTCCCACGCCTGCAATGACCTAAAGATTTCCCCATAAGCCTCACCTCTTAAAGGTGCCACCATCTTCCAATATCATCATCCTGGGATTCAGGCTTTTACCATGGCTTTTGGGTAAACCTCCCAGATCCAGACTATAGCATAACACATTGAAATATATAATCACACYAGCAAACTGAGCCTAGTTTATGATTTTCCTTGTATTATTGACACACTC